AGGAATACACATATCCCTGTGAACCGGAGAAGGTTCTTCAAAGCACTTCCCCATTTTCCAGCAAATGAATGTTCATTTCTATGGAAACAGGCCTGGCAGCCAATCCCAGAGCTGTGAGAGCACTTGTTTCTGCTGCGTGATTTGTAAATTCTGTTTTCTCTAAGAGAATTTAAACAGGCTCCTGTACTGGGGAGTAGCGTAAATTTTGAGACAGGGAATTGAAAGAGAAGCAGGGGAAATGGTAATATTAAGCTCTCTACTTTGCCTCATTCAGCAGACAGGATGATTTGAGCTGAATATAAATTGGTACATCTCTATTCCACCCATGCGATTTTCCCCATTTAATGGTATGCCTCACGGTGTCGGCTTTACACACCTCGAGTGTGAGAGGCAAGAGGCAGGGGTGTTGGTATTAGGGTTGGAGGGGAGCCGTGTCACGGGTGAGGGAGGTGCAGTGTGGGTGTACGTTCTGCTAACCCCCCAAAACAAGCTGAAAAGGCAGTTAAAATCTATAGCACGAGCATGAGTGTTTTTCCACATTACGCTCTCGGTTTTTATTTCCCTTTGCTGTTTTCCTTTTGGAATTACAGTTACTATGGAGACACTGACGACATACCCCAGCAGAAACAGCTCACCAGTGTGGCCCGGCATGCACCTCCATGGTGCGGGGAACGGGCACGCTGGTGATCACTGGTGGGGCTTTGTGCGCTTCTTCAGCTTGCTCAATGCAGGTGGTCAGCGCGTGGCCACGCGTTTGAAACTCCAGTTGCTGGTTTATAATTTTAAATAGGAAAACGTAGTGACCAGTGAAGCGTAAGGTTCAGTTCAAGCCCACTTTGGAAGCAAAGGCTGATGCTTCCACTGGTTTGTAAGCAACTTGTGTGAGGTTTTGAATTATTACTGCAGGGAGCTGTGCTTCTGCCGACGGCTGATCTGTAAGCGCTGGGGTGGGCTGTGCCTGTGTCTGTCTGCACCTTAAACTGTTCCTTAGGCCAGGCACAGTAAATTGGAATTGGAACTACTTTTACTTCCTCTATGGGATAGCACTCTCTCTACCTTCAGTATGTCCCCCAAAGCAGTGACGCTGTTCAGCCATACGCAGAAGCGCAGGGTTTGGGTAGGTTTGCATTGTTATTCCCATGGCGCTGCAGCACGCTGCCCTGCATCCGTACCGCTTAATGTGCCGACGGCATGTCCCTCACCTTTCTTCAAGGAGACGTCTGCTTCCTGCGGGTTGGGTCGGGTCGGGTTTGCTCTGCTCT